AAGAGAAGACTGAGGAAGGGCATGGGCATGAAGAACACAGAATGAAGTCCCAGCTGCTGGCCATGGCCGCCAAAAGAGGAGCAAGAAGATATGAATGATGCTGTGCATTCAGAGATGGCAGCGGGGGAACGTGCCCAGGCTGACTGGTAAGTACAGTTAACCCTTGAACAGGATGGGTTTGAACTGCACACATTCAGTGGTATGTGGATTTTCCCCTTTCTCTGCCACCCGTGACACAGTAAGAACAACCCCTCCTCTCCCTCCTCCTCCTCAGCCTCCTCAACATGAAGATGATGAGGATGAAGACTTTTGTGGTGATCCCCTTCCACCTAATGAAGAAAAAATGTATTTTCTCTTCCTTATGATTTGCTTAACGTTTTCTTTTCTCCAGCTAACTTTGTTGTAAGAATAAAATATATGCCTATAACATATAAGATATGTGGTAATCTACTGTTGGTGCTATCAGAAAGGCTTCCCATTGACGGCAGACTATTTGTAGTTAAGTTTTGGGGAGTCATAAGTTATATGCATTTTTGCCACATAGGAGGTTGGCACCCTACACTTGTTCAAGGGGCAACTGCATTTCAATGAGGAATGATGAAAGGAGTATGTGAAGCTGCCTCTGGATGTCACCCCCTCAGGGAGGACTGCTTACACTTCCCATTCATGTGGTTTGGTTTTGCAACATCTCAGCCCTGTGCTCATCCTTTATTTCAGCACCACCCCCACTGCTAACCCACCACCGTTATTCTTACAATCACCAACATGGTTTGGTTTTTCCTTGTAAGAGCTGGAGGCATTTGGTAAGTGTCTCAGACAAGCTGTTCTCTAGCCATGGAATACCATCTCCTACCTACTTCCTGTCACATTCCCTGTGCGAACCCCATCTGTTCTTTAAACTTCGCTCATGCAGTCTCCCCCTCTTCCAAGTTCCCAGGTCGTAGTTTTCTCTTCCCTACAGCCATAACCATTTGGCTCTTGAATTGTCACGTCTTCTCTCTCCTGGGAAAACTGCACAGGATAGGTTGGAGCTTTACATCCCATACATCCTGCTCAAAGTACAAAGAGAGTCCTAGGTTTGCCCTTGCAAATAAGGGGCAGTGTCAACCGCATGTACCATCTCAAATAGCAAATTTGGGATGCTTAAAGGCAGAGTGTATTATTGCAGTGACGTGAGGTGAATTTGAATTAACGGTTGTCCTCCTTTGGTTCAGGAGATAGGGAACTCATCTCTAAAAACCTTTTACTTACCTTAGCTAGCAATACTTATAAGATTTACTTTTCAAAACATAGTGACGTTTAACTCCATAGAAAGTGAAAGGAGGTTCTTTCATATCAGGGAGTAGAGGAGGGATTGAAGGATGCCAGCATGCCACTTCTTTCCTGTTACCATACCCGTGGGCCCTCTGACACTCGCCAACATTTGCACATGATTGGATTATGACAAGAACAGAGAATTACGTAGACTGCCACTTAGTTTTGTCCCCTTCTCAACTTCAGTCCAATGAATTCAGAGAAAAAGGTCTACATTGAGAAAAAGTTCTACATTAAGAAAAAAATCCAAGGAAACAGAACACTGGCTTTTAAAGCATTTAATAAGTCAAAATCAAATAAAAGTGATTTTAAAAAGAATAAATTTACATACGGTACATAAGCAAGACAGCTGAAGGTTTCTAAAATAGAAACCTGGAACATATGGCCCCAAAACACCACGTGCTTTGATTACACTCAGGAAGCATGAGTTGCCCATTTGGGTGAGAAAATCCCATGTTACAGTAAGATCACTGGGCATGTTTCGGAGTAATTCCAACCACTGTCATATAAGTGTTTGTAATTCAGGGGTGTATTCTATGTTTTCATCTTCTGAATATCTTGTGATGGTGCAGGTTTGAGCAAAACTGGCATGAAATGAGAGCTGAAGATGAAGATTGCAGCTAATCTTTAGATCAAGATGCCTTGGCCCACAGTGGCAGTGGGTTGGGGGTGGAATGGGGACAATTAGGAAAAAGGCATGTCATTCTATCTGGCTCCTGGAAGGGCAGATAATCCTGAGAGCTTTGGTGTCACAGTTCCCAGAAGCAAGGCTGGCCAGACCATAGGCTTATATTGTGGTGAGCTTGACTTTAAATTAATCTCCAAGACGCCAGATAAAGAGAGGGACCATGGACCTAGACTGAAGCTAAACCAGTAGGGGGCACTCTTTCCCCAGAGAGAAAATCCCTATGTCTTGAAAGGAACCTGAGGCCATACCCTTGGAATGGGCATGCAATGGTGTGAGTGAGAGAGGATTTAACCCAGCGAAGTGCTATGTGAGAAAGGAATGGAAGAGGGCTAGCAAGACAAGAGTTTGAATCAGGTAATGCATTGTTTTTCCCCCAATCAGTTTCTGTCTGCTTCTACACCACGGAGCAGGAGGGCTCAAAAACGGAGGTTGGCGTCACCAATATATACTTTTCATTCTCCAGTTGCAGCAATCAGATACTTTAAAAAGTGACCAACCATGGCCAATCCTTGGCTCATGCTTTAATGTGCTGTGGCTGATATATTAATCCTCAACCCAAATTAGGTAAGTACAGCCTTAAATATATCAATATAGCTGACGGGCCTTCCTATTGTTGGGACTTAAAACTAGAGACAGTACTAAAAAGTGTGCATATGATATATATATATATATACACACATATATATACACACTTATATATATGATATGCCAACACCCACTGCTGTGACAATTATCACAATCCCTCTTTTTAAAATACACAAGTGAGAAAAGCTGAACCTTTTGTCAGCTGGCTTCAGACAAGTCAACCACAATTATTTTGTGTAGATATCCACTGCTGCGAACTCTGGCTGGGCAGCTATGAGGATGGAAATACAGAAAAGTGCCTCATCCAGCTGACAGCCACTGCAGTGCAGGTGCAGGTGTGGGCTGGGAATGCCTGCTTGCTAAGGCCCTTCCCCTGAGTCGTGCTGCAAATACTCATCAGAGTTTGATGTAAAAGCAGTCAAATGGCAGGTCATCTTGATCTTTGCTTTCTAACTATAATAAACGTGAGAAGAATTTTAAGTAAAAAGAGGATGTTTTGCTAAAAATTCTTGAGAAATTGGAGTGCTTAGATACTAATGATCATCTCAACAGTAAGGCCGTCGAATATATCTGAAATCAACAAGAATGTGATTTTTCAGTTTGATCACATTAAGAGCCTCTGTAACTTTCAAGGAAGCTAATTTTTTTCCAAAGTATATACATGTTACTGATGTGTTGGGTTGATAAATCATGGGCTTCAGTCCTATAGGCACTGTGCCTCAATAGACACTTTGTTAACTACAGTTACACTAACTTTGAAAAAGTTCTTGATACCTGTTCCTTATTCTTAGGAACTGAAGAGGAGCAGACTCTGATGTTTGCATAATCATCACTTTCCTATGTTAAGAGGACTCACCCTGGTAGGCTTAATGGGTGTTGTATTTGGTTGGCTTGTTTTCCCAAGGGATGCTAAAGTTGTTATTGCATTAATTACCCTTAAAATTGCCAAACGATAAGAGGTGGGAAGACCTAAAGGGAGCCTGATTCTATTCAGTAGATGGGAAAATGGATTTACAGAAGGTAACTGTGAAATTGGAGGAGTAATGTCATGGAGGCCTTGTCAGGACCAGGCAATGTCAAGGGAACCTATCTCTTGTTTGTCAGGCTCCAGAAAGGATCAAGTTCATCTGTTCTTCTGTGGATCCACCTTCCAGGCAGATGCCAGTGTCTTCCAAGTTTGTATGAAAGCAAAAAACTGCCGAAGATGGGCAGAGGGCCTGTCCCAAACCACTAGGAAGCAGGAAACGGTGGGAATCTCAGTGAATCCCAGATGTATCCACTTGTGTTGAAGGCTAACACCCATCCTGTTTGGTGAAGTGGGAGCAGCCAGCCTGTTTTATGCATCAGAAGAGTTTAGTAATGGTAACTGGAATCCTGCAAAATGTATATAAATAAGGAAGACCAGATCTCTATTTCAACAGGAACACCAGGACTCATAAGGAAAGCAGGCTCTTCCCCATGACCTCACAGCTCTGCCTCTGCCTTTCATCTGTTCATAGTGAGTTTTTTTTTTTTTTTTTTTCAGAGTGGTCTTACCACCCAACCAGGCACAGTCTAATTTGATCACAACAAGTAGGAGGCTGGGCACAGTGGCTCATGCCTGTAATCCCAGCACTTTGGGAGGCTGAGGCAGGTGGATCGCTTGAGCCCAGGAGTTTGAGACATACCTGAGCAACACGGTGAAACCATCTCTACAAAAATTAGATGGGCATGGTGGTTCAATCTTATAGTCCCAGCCACTCAGGAGGCTGAGGCAGGAGGATCGCTTGAGCCCGGGAAGCAGAGCTTGCAGTGAACTGAGATTGTGCCACTGTACTACAGCCTGGGAAACAGAGCAAGATCCTGTTTCAAACAAAACAAAACAAAAAACAACACCAAAAAAATGATCAGGAAGTCACCCTCTCCAAGGAATGTAGTTTTATATGGTGCCATCTCTTCTCCTGGACCAAGGTTCCCATTTTGGAAATCAGACTCAGTGCTAGGCAAGGTTGTAACTGAAAAGAAAGGCTCTACCTCCAGCTTCCCAGATCATCCCATCTCTACTGGCTCTCCAGAACCCAGTGGGGCTCACAGCTATTCCTAAGCCAGGCCACAGTTCCCACTAGCCCATAACTAGGTCCAAAGTTCATGCAACAGAAAGACAGAGGAGCAGGCGCTGGGGTGGGGGTGTGCCTTTAAAGATCTGGGTTATGGTTTTTAGCCTGGGTTCAACTGTAGCATAACCACTGCAGACTAATGACCCCTATGAGACAATTTTTCCCTTTCACATAGCGGCATCATTTATCTGATAGTAGCAAGACAGCCGTATGACTTTTTTTGTTTAAGAAAAATGAGTTGTCAAGAATTGCCTACCACTAACTTTCCTATGTCTTGGCTCTCATGTCCGGTGGGCTAGTTTTCAACTGTTTGAGACTCAGGGTAATCCCAGGAACCTGTGCAGCATCGGCACAAAGGTTGTAGCGCAGATGCCAACCGACGTATAGGTAACAAACTTGTAAGGCACTTCGATCTCCAGTCTCCGCCTGGCCTCCTTGTTCCTGGTAACCACCTTGAACCACGAGTATAACACTTGCAGTGAGAGATTTTGGACAAGCTGACGAACGAAGAGGATCAACACAATTCCCACTGCAAATTTGGTCAGAACCAAAACTAACAAGTCAGTGGTGAGCGGTGGGATGTTCTGAATAACAGGGAGAGATTCGGCGGGCTTGGACACAAGATGGAAGAAATGGTTGATCCAGCAGCCTATGGTCACTCCAGCCCCAGCGGCCATAATGGTGGTGGTGTCCGCCCGGGTTGGGCTGTAGTAATCAGAAACCGGATAATTGTAGCACAGAAAGAATGGCACAACTATGACGCACACAGGGAAGAGGGGACTGGCTGAGTCCAGGCAGTCGATGAGGGTCCAGGCAGGGTAGGTGAGGGCGATGAGGAGCGCGGTGATCAGGACGCCACCCAGCACATCCTTTGGGAAGGAGAGAAAAGAACAGTGTGAACCAGTGAGTGTTTCCTTGCATACAGGTCTAATTCTGAGTCAAGTACGGTGAATTTGATATTTAAAACACATTTTTTGCATTGTTTTCTTTTACAGTACATGTTCAAAGAAAGTGCAAACTTCTAAAAAGTTGAAGTGAAAATAGGAAAAAATGCTCCCCCCAACCATGCTGCTCATGTTGCATATCTTCTTTCACCTTTTTAACCTTTTGGAATAAATTCTGTCTTTGCTTTCTTAATGAATAACTATAATCTCGTTGTCCTTCAAACTTATATAAACCTAGTAAGTATTTTGATGCTTATATCACAAATACTATCACCGTCTTCACAGAGGCGCCACCATCCTTTCTTGGCAGGCGGGGCTTGGGCTGCAGGCTGGCTGGAGGGGGAAGCTCGCTTCTGGGGGAGCTAAATGCACACAGCAAGCACACTGTTACATAGAGGACATGCTCCTTTGGGGTAGTTTGAGGAGACATTGGATATGGTGGCACCAAAGCTCTTCTGCGTCAGTCTTGGCACTATACCCCGCCTTCAGAGACAGGATTTCAGAGTGTGCATACAATTTCATGGAGCACTTGTACCATGATTTATTTAATTAATCCCACTCTTTAAAACATTAAACTTGCTTTCTTCCATCTCCTCCTCCCTTCCTACCCTGCTTAAAATATCTTCGACTTCTTGATGCCCCACATTTTCCTCTTTCCTTAGTCTTCTCTTTGCACAAAGTAATTAATTGATTCTTAGTTTCAATACCTGGAGTCTGCATGCTTCCATACATTCTTTTTTCCCTATATATAAAATGGAATTCTAAGGCTTGATCTTGCTTTTTCTAATAACTTCATTATTTATTTCTCTTGCTTAGTGTCTAATATAATTACCTCTGATTTGGATAAACAAGGGGTGAGAATTAGATCTTAGGAATAATCACTAAGGCAACAGCAAGTTTCACAGATTAGTGGGCATCCATCCATTCTTCCAGTGGCCATGGATGAGTGCCTACTGTTTGCCAAACACAGTGCTAGAGCATCCAGGGTGAACCAAACACACAATCCCCACCTGTCCTGGACCTTACAGTCTGGTAAAGAGGAGACAGTTACCATTATTTCAGAGGGAAAGAGGCCAGTGAGGGATCCTGATGGTCCCTTGGAGCTGGAGAGGAGAGAGTGAACACAGGCAGGAGCCACTTCACACTTCACACAGGGCCTTGAAGTCCAACCCACGCCATGAGTACCACATCCTGGGAGCAGCCTCAAGTCCTGAAGTAGCTCTCACTGGGTAGCAACATGACTGGATTTTTACTTTTAAAAGATTGTCTGACTGCAGTGGGGAGGGTGGACAGGGGGAGGAATGAGGGTGGTGGAAGAGGAGTGAGGGGGAGGAGGAGTGAGGGTGAAGTGAGGAGTGAGGGGGGAGGAGGGAAAGTGGGGGGAGGAGTAAGGGTGGAGGGGAGGTGTGAAAGTGGTAGTGGAGGAGTGAGGGTGGAGGGGAGGAGTGAGGCAGGGAGGAGGGACAGTGGTGGGGGAGTGAGGGTGGTGGGGTATGAGTTGGGGAGAGATGAGGGAAGAGAAGTTGGGGGAGGACACGGTGGTGGGAGGAGTGAGGGTTGGGAGTGAGAGTGGACAGTGCGGGGGAGGAATGACGGTGGAGGGGGAGGAG